AGAAAAAGAGAAAATTTGAGTACGGATCAATTGAGTATGGATCCTCCTCTGTTTTCCAATACACCCTAGGCTGTCATTTTCTCTTGTCTGTCCTCTGAACCCTGTTACCATTTTGTGTATTTTGAGAATGGGAATTGGGACCTGACACCCCACCATCCCACCCAGAAAAAGTTTACTTCATTTTTCAGTGTGGTTTTCAGGCTTTCCACTAGGTGGAGGGCAAGCATCATAGCAGGGCTATCCTGGCCATGTGCCTGGGGTGGGTAGGACACTGGAAGGGAGGCTTCCAAACCTTACCAGGAAAGCATCTATTGGAGTGGATGAGGAGTCACGCAGCTCATTTTGGGGCAGAGGGACTCAGGAAAGCCTCCTCTAATGTGTCCTGGACTTCCAGATGATTTCTTTCTGGCGTTCAGGAGCCATGACCCTTGATTTCCTGCTTCTCCTGTCTTCTGACCTGCCTGCCATCCTTATTCTGCCCGCTGCATCTACACTCTCAGCCATCTCATATGTGTTATTTGGGTTTGCCTGAATGAGCCTCCCTCTGCCATACTTCTGGGCCTTAGCACATGTTATTCCTCCAGCCAAGATTACCTCATTGTCCTATTATTTCATCAGGCCAATTTATTTCACATACTCCAAGAAATCTCCCTGGGCATCTACACTGGCCTTGCTGCTATGTGTTGAAATTGTTTACTGTCATGCCTCCTGGACAAGACCTGCCTAATGGAGAAAACACGAAATGAATGCAAAATAGCCAAACAGGGTGGCAGATGCCTGTAATCCCAGCACTTGAGAAGCAGCAACAGGAGGATTCAAGACCAGCCTGGACTACATAGACCATATCCATCTCAAAAACAGCAACAACAAAGAGAGAAGTAAACCCATCACAAACTACAAACAAAACAACACAAAAGCAGGTGCATATAAAATTAACAAATGGCTAGGTTGAGGAGTTTATTTGTTATTTATTTCTTTACTTGTGTGTGTGTACATATACCCTCATGAGTTAATGTACATGTGTGAGTGCAAGTGCCAGAGTGCCGGGCATTGAATCCCCTGAAACTGGGGCTCCAGCCAGCTGTGAGCCTCCAGATATGGGTGCAGGGTACTGAACCCAGGCCCTCTGCAAGAGCAGCAATCACTCTTAACCACTGAGCCATTTCTCTAGTCCCAGTTGAGTGCAACCGGCAGCGTGTATGGAGACACTCTGGATCCGTATTTATCTATACCCATAACCTCCCTGGGTCAGTATTAGATTTTGTTGTGCGACTCTATCAAAGCGATGTGACAGTGGGTACCATGAGTATCAGAGTTCAAACCCAGACTCCATCATCTCCCTGGATGACCTTGGGTGAGGGTCAGAGCCTTCATTGCCTTTATTTTTGTAACTGGTTGTAATTTCACGTTGCTGCAGAGCCTCGTGGTGAGGATCAAATTAGACCATGCAAGTGAAACCCCCTGCATCAGCCAATTAGGTGCCCTCCCCCAGCGTGAACTTGGAAATAAAATTGCCCTCCAAGTCTTAAGCCAGTAAAATCTACACATCACGGAGGAGAAGAGCCAGGTGGGGGAGTGAATGAGGCGAGAGAGATGGTTTTGTAAACGACTGAAGAGTTTCGTGAACGGTGCAAGCTGCAATCAAGGTGACCCGCCTGTAATCTCAGGGAGGCAGGGGGAGCGGGTGTGATTGAAATGGAGAGAGCAGTGGTCTAATCAATTGCATTGTGCTCTATCTGGAGGGAACAGAAGGCGGTACTAAAATGGGGGTGCTGAGGAGGTTCATCCAGCTGCCCTGGAGGGAGTGATGGGGACCTGTAGACACAGGGATGCTCTGGTCTTCTGAAGAGCAGCCAGGGCCCTGGAGAACTCCAGATGGTTCAGTGCACTGCTGGGCCTTTACTGAAACCACATGGGCAGCAGGCAGCAGGCAGAGCCCCCAGGAGGCCGACAAGAATATCCTGGTTCCAGGAAAGGGCTGTAGAGGCTGAGCACTAAATCTGGGGCCAGAGACTTGGTCTCAGCCCCTGATCTACGGCTTATGTGCTGGACACCTTCAAAAATTTGACTTAGGCAGGGCATGACCATATATGCCTACGATTCCAGAACCAGGAAACCTGGGCAATACAGAGAAAGCCTATCTCAAAAGAGGGTGTGTGTGTGGCAGGGCGGGGAGTACGATTTCTCTCACAGTGCCTCAGCTTATCAGGACAGTCTCCTGTTTTCCTAGGCTATGTGAGGTTGAAATGGCAGCATACCCTTAGCAGGACATCTGGCATGTAGTCTATGTTCTGTAAATGGCAGTGACCAGCAGCCGGCCGACATTGGATTAAACATTTTATGACTTAATGAAATTAAAAACTTGCATAGAACACGGTAGCCAGAGAGTGGTAGAGGCAGAAGTCACAGCAGGAACCACAGCTCCAGAGCTGTGCTCCTAACTGTTTATTTTTGTTTTAATTTATCTATTTTTACTTCACGTGCATTGGAGTTTTGCCTGCATATATGTCTATGTGAGGGTGCTAGATTCCCTGGAACTAGAGTTACAAACAGTTGTGGGTCGCCATGTGGGTGCTGGGAATTGAACCTGGGTCTTCTGAAAGAGCAGCCATTGCTCTTAACTGAGCCATCTCTCCAGATCTGCTCTTAACTGTTTACTTCTGGCTTGTACATCAGGTTCCTGTGAATTCCATTGGTTAGGAGACTGTGACCTCAAGGAGCCTCGGAGTCTGAGAGTTTTTCTGCAGAGCTGAGGCTACTACCATCCTGTGACAATGTGTCTGAGCAGCCACTTGGATTCCATTCGGACATCCCTCAGCACAGGGAACTCTTAGTAGAATCCACCTTGCCCCCTATCCTTTAGACCCCTCAGTTTGGCTGAGGTGTCTAGGGAATCTTTCTGCCAATAACTAGAGAACACACACACACAATACACACCCTTTCAAAAGCCCAGTGGTTATGCAGTCTGAAGGGACTATGGGCTTTGTGTAAGATCAACTCTGCTGCATGCCTCCAAGTGATCCAGGCATATCATGTAACCCCGGGACCTCCGTTTTCTTATCCAGTGGAACTAATCTTAGAAAACAGTCTCAGCTTTAGATTACTCGGGGGATGGTGGCAAACACATATGCTATTCAGCAGACACGTTGTCTGTTTGTTTGAGGTGGGGTCTCATTATGTATCCCTGGCTGTCCTGGAACTCTCTATGTTGACCAGGCTGGCCTCAAACATGTACATCTGCTTGCTTCTGCCTCCCAAGTGGTGGGACTAAAGGTGTGTGCTGCCATGCCGGAATCAGTTTAATAGATTAAACTGGGCATGGTGGTGCACATCTGTAATCCTAGCATTTGGAAGGTGGAAGCAGGAAGATCAGGAGTTCAAGGTCATTGTTGGCTATGTGGAGAGCTCGAGGCCAGCCTGGGTTAGATGAGACCATACCTCGTGTTTTTTTTTTTTTTATTGAAAGGTAAGTTATTATTTATTTATTTCTTATTTCTTCAGCCTGAGGGAACCCCTCCAGGGCAGGAATAGATCTCACTCATTTTTATGTGCCCAGGGTCCTGTTCAGTGAAGGACCCATCGGAGACAACTCTTAGTAATCGCCTAGTGCAGCCGTGGCTTCCAACTCCTGGACTCTTTCCTCTTCTGTCACATTCAGAGGTCAATAAACACTGCCTGATAGGAGAGGCTGGAATCCATATTTCCTGCACTCCTGCTTTCCAGAGAGAGGCATGTCAGCTACCAGGTTCTCCAGGAGGACTTAGCAGGTGAGACCATTCTTTGCCATTGCAAAAGTTCATTAAAGATTGTAGCCTGGCTGAGGTGGCATACACTGTTAATCCCAGCACTTGGGTGACAGAGGCAGACAGATCTCTGAGTTCAAAGCCAGCCTGGTCTACAAGAGTTCCAAGACAGCCAGGGCTACACTGTGAAGCTTATTTTTTACTTCATCTGAATCCATTTATTGCATCTGAAACTCTGTCTCAAAAAAAAAAAAAAAAAAAAAAAAGGCCAGGTGGTGGTGGCACACTCCTTTAGTCACTCTTGGGAGGCAGAGGAAGGTAGATCTCTGTAAGTTCAAGGCCAGCATGGTCTACAAAACGAGTTCCAGGACAGTCTCCAAAGCTACACAGAGAAACCCTGTCTCGGGAAAAAAAAAAAAAAATTGTTTACCATCCCTGATCCCAGCTAATAGGCCCTCCCAGTCACTACAATAAATACACTTCCAAAGGTCTCCAAGAATTCTCCCAGTGAGGTCCCGGGAACCAGGCCTCTTCCCTCCTCCTATGCCCTGTTTTGGAGAACCTAATAGCCACAGAGGGTCTGCTGTATTCTTCTCCATGCCTCTGCTGTGGCACACTCCTTTAGTCACTAAGACTGTCTATGGTAATTTGAAAGTAATTGGCCTTCATAATCTCACAGGGAGTGGCACTATTACGAGGTGTGCTTTTGTTGCAGTAGGGATGGCCTTGTTGGAGGAAGCCTGCCACTGTGGGGTGGGCTTTCAGGCATACGATGCTCAGGATACTGTCCAGCGTCCCAGTTAACTTCCTGTTGCTCACGAGATGTAGAACTCTCAGCTCTTTCTCCAGCACCACACCTGCCTGCAAGCTGTCACACTCCCTGCCATGACGATAGTGGATTAAACCTCTGAAACTATAAGTGAGCCAATCCAATGAAATATTTTCATTTATAAGAGTTGTGAGTGCCGCCGGGCGTTGGTGGCGCACTCCTTTAATCTCAGCACTTGGGAGGCAGGGGCAGGCAGATCTCTGTGAGTTCGAGGCCAGCTTGGTCTACAAGAGCTAGTTCCAGGACAGGCTCCAAAGCCACAGAGAAACCCTTTCTCGAAAAACCAAAACCAAAAAAAAACAAAAACAAACAAACAAACAAAAAGAGTGTGCCAGGATAGGCTCCAAAGCTACACAGAAAAAACGAACAAACAAACAAACAAACAAACAAACAAATAAATAAATAGTTGCTGTGGCCATACTGTCTCTTCACAGCAATAAAAACCTTAACTAAGACACTGTCCCAGTGTGCCTGTGTGTGATGGGTGGGAAATGACTGACATGAGTTAACTGTACACAGATTCAAAGCCACATTCATCTATTTCCAATTGCCTGTTTTCTGTGTTTCTCAACTCATGGTAAACTGACTGTGAAACTCCATGCACTGGGTACCTAGAACTTAGTAGGCAAGAGGGAACTCCTCACTGCCCGCCAAATCTATCCGTTCACCGCCTGTAGAGCACCGTCCCTTCCCAAAGATGGCTCAGGGAATTTTCATGGCTCAATGTTCACATCATCATTGTTCTTACTTACATAATGAATAACACATACACATTATTCAGAGAGGTGGTGAGCCTTCATCAGCTCACTCCCTCAGGCCCGGACCTGGACCATTCGCATCCAGTCTGCAGGAAGCGAATCAAGCAAAGACATTCCCTGCCGTTGTAACTTTGAGAAATCCAAAAGAACAGAGAACAGTAATTAAATTCTTAGACCCTGGACTGGAGCAGGTTGACAAGAAGTAGGAGAGCAGGAATAAGAGATAAGTGAAGGAAGGGAAATACAGTTTTATAAATAACTAGACAAAGTATGAGTATTTTTAGGAGATGGAAGGAGAGGCTAACAGCATGTAGGAGCCTAGTGGGACAGGGAGAATGGTGCCTGCGGTCAGACTGTTCGAGAGATGAGTTCTGAGCATCCATTCACTCCATCTGCAACATGAGTGGGTGCCCTAGATTTTTAGAAGGGAAGAGGGAGTGGTTGGGGTCAGAGAAGGCAAGAGATGAGATCCTAGCCTCCATTTGCCCCATCTATAAAATGGCTTCAGCTTTTTGAGTTCTCAGATTCCACAGGGTTCCAAGTCTGGGGCACTGGGAACAGAAAGCCCTGGAGTTTGCAAGAGCAAGTAGATACTCCCAGAAGGTCACTGATGCCCAGCTGGGCTATGTCTGGTCCCCAGGCTGGTACTGTGGTTCTGTGGAGGTAAAATAGTCTTCCAGGAAAGACTGTAGGTACTCAAAGGTGGGCCTCTCCTCTGGATCCAGGCGCCAGGTCTGCTCCATGACTTCATACAGGGACGCTGGGCAGCCCGGAGGGCACGGCATGTGGTAGCCATGCTCTACCTGTTCCAACACTTCCCGGTTGTTCATGCCTGAGGGGTGGAGCTCTGTCAGTCAGCGCAAGGAGTAAGGGTGGAGAAGCCCCTTCCCAGGGCCATGACCACACCCTCAACCCCCATCTCACCTGGGTAAGGAACTCGGCCCTTGGTGATCAGTTCAGTGAGCAGAATCCCAAAGGACCACACATCTGACTTGACAGTGAATCTGCCAAAGAGGGCGGCCTCTGGGGCTGTCCACTTGATGGGGAACTTGGTCCCTGGGGAGAAAATGGGGAAGGCAAGGTTAGCTGGGGGTGGGGGGCATGGAAGCTGCTAGATTAAGAGAATGAGAACTTTAGGATTAGGCCTCTTGGGTCTAGAAGTCTCTGTGCACAGCAGAAAAAAAAAAAAAAAAACTGCTAGTACAGTGTTGGCCACTTCCACACACCGTTACACTTCTCATGACAAGATGTTAGAATGTCTCTAGCCTTTGCTAAGTTTCCGGCACAGTTTTGTCTGTCTTTGCTTGGGTTTTATGGTGCTGGGAGAAAATTCAGCCCCATTTCCACTAAGCAAGCATTCTCCCACCCCTCCCAAGTTATAGTTCCCCGGCCCCTTCGGCCCAGGTATTGTTTTAGGCAATATGCCTGCATTGTTAACACATTGAGCCCTCACTATCTCTGACCTCGTTTTACCAGTGAGGAAAAGAAGATGCCAAATAACTTTTTGCCCAGCTCACACAACCAACAAGTGCCTGAGAGACACTCGAGGTGTTCTGGCTACAGACCTGGCACTGTTATACTCCATTGTCGAAGTTTAAGACTTAGAGCAATGTCAGTAGCTGGTAAATGGTTACTCACTTACTGTTGTCTAAGTATTTTCATTTTATCAGAATGGCAAACCATAGAAGTTAGGTAGCTGAAGATTTGTGGTAGCAAATGCTTGAGCTGAGACTTGAACTCAGAATTCTATTTTATTTATGTCAGGCTGGGAGTATCCAGTATCATCAGGGATGGGGAGGGGCTTCTGACTACGTGGGGTAGCTTTTGATCTCTAGGGAGGGAGGGTGAGGCTGGTTACCTTGGCGGGGGTTGTACTCATTATCCTCTATGAGGCGCGCCAGCCCGAAGTCTGCGATCTTGCATATTAGCTGTTCCCCCACCAGGATGTTGGCTGCTCTCAAGTCTCGGTGGATGTAGTTCATACGCTCCATGTAGGCCATGCCCTCAGCTACCTACAAAGGAGGAGGAAAGGAAGTGGCGGCAGGAGCTAACACGGACTCACAACACCATAATGGGACCTCAGGGGTGTGTGGGAGTCGCCTGAAAAGTCCACTCTCCTGATGGAACCCCTCCCCCATGCCGCCACAGCCCAACACACACGGGGAGACTTAACAGCATCCTCCTGCCTCAGGTCTCAGAGCTCATAAGTTGGGGTAGGCTACAGTTTTAGGTGTATGAAGGCACAGGGGGTTTATGAGAGGATAATAAGATAGAGGTTTGCGAGATGAAGCCTGCTGGCCCAGTTTACCTGGGCGGCCATGTCCACTAGATGGGGCAGCCTCAAGTTCTGGCGTCCTCGATCCTTTAGGAAATCCAGCAAGCTACCTAGGGAGAAGCAGCCAGAAATCAGCCACAGGCCCCTACTCCCAATATGCCTTCTCTACATTGGTCTAGCCTCACTCTGCCTCTCATCCTGCTTTGTCACCTACACCAACCCTCCGGTTCTGTTCCCACCTCCGAACCCCTGGACACGCCCCACTTAGACTCCTCCCCAGGTCAGCCCTCATCCCTGATCCTGCTCTGGTTTGCTCAAATGGATCCACTAGTTGGCAAACCTCCTTCTACCTAGAGGAGGCTCCACCCCCTGTCACTGGCCCCACCTACACCTGTACCTTGACAGGTGGTGGCTGAGGCACCACCCACCCACAACCGGCCTCCTACTCAGCTCCTCACCGTGGCTCATAAACTCTGTCACAATATAAATGGGCTCCTCCGACACCACCGCGTACAGCTGCACCAGCTTGTCGTGCCTCAGCAGCTTCATGATCTGTGCCTCCTCCAGGAAGGCCTTCGGGGACATGGTGCCGGGCTTCAGCGTCTTCACCGCCACCTTTGTGCTGCAGTTCCACGTGCCTGCTCATCGGCGGCAGCATTTCGTCAAGACTGGCTCACTGCCAGCCCTGCCCCTTGCCCCAGCCCCCAGCCCCCAACCCTCTCATCCTAAGACCTTCCTACCCAGCCACACGTCTCCAAAGCAGCCTCTGCCCAGCC